CAACCGGGAAGGCAATCAAATGATTTTCTGAAATATACTGCGTTGTTTAACTGCGCAGTTATCTTCAAAAATTCATCTGATTGCCTTCCCGGTTGAATTTTTAGTTGAAATTCGGTATGAGTAAACTAGACTTAATGAATAAGATTCTGTAAAAATGTCATCAAAAAAATTTCACTGGGAACCGCCCCAAATGGCGACGGCCGGACAAAACCTTCTATATAAGGGGTGATTTGCACTTTTTAAGTAAGTTCGAGGGCTTGTTTGATAGTTCTCCCTATTTTCTATTATAGTGATCGTGACGAAATTTATGCGAAAGCTGCAGTGGCTATATAGTCATATTTATGTCGATGAATATATTTTAATCTGCCCCTCTTTGAAAATAAATTTTACGTTTCCTTTTGTGTTTACAAAACAATTCTCCTGGCTTTATTTAAGCTAATAAATACTCCTTATCAACTTCTTTTTACCAGGAAGTGATGAAATTGTGTCAAAAATTCTATGGGATTGTTGACGAAGTAAGTGATTTATATCATTTTTCATTTATCTTAGCCCAACTATATCACAACTATATCACATCCTTTTCAACTTCTTTCAAGGCAGAAAGATTGAGGATTGTTTATGCGAAAGATTGTTTCAGTTTGGACAATTCAAATCAGACTCAAACAGACTAGATTGAGTTCGAGCAGATCAAATTTAGGAGTATATACCTTAGAGCAGATCAATTCAGTTTATAAAATTTCAGTTCAAGTGAAAATATACCTTAGAAAAACCACAATCTTTTACTACGCACATTACTATCTTAGGAGTATTATTCGTGTGATCACACCAATGATTTTCCCATATTAATGTTGGTAGGTAATCAAACAACCAATAGGGAATATAAAAACATTCTGTATACAGTATATCACAAAATAGGTAAATTACACCAAATATACCGCCTCAATGATACATCACCATCCCTCATCCAGTTATCCCAGAAGGAAAACTCCATACTTTGATACTTCGGAATGTTTTTGGACAGATGAGTAGTCTTTCAAAGACAGGTATCAGATATGGTGTCCTAAATGACTTGCCCTATATATACCCTCTATAGTGGACACATCACACATCAAAATGAACCTTAAAGATAAGTATAACTTCATTATCATCATGGATTGAAAATATAGCTACCACATTTACACTTCCAGCACATGGGCTTGTAGTTTTCTGAGCTATCTGCTCTTGATGAATATGCTATAACTTGGGGAGGAAGATCAGCAGTGATGAAGTGGTGATTTGTTCTTGAGATCTGGGGGTGTTTGGGGTCATCAATGGGGACCTGAACAGCCTCACAGTGACCACCATCACACTTCCTGTCGCGGCATCTCACTTCACATCTAGGTGGCCTTGACCCTATCAAAGATCTCATCATTACCTTCATTTCCTCTTCATATCTCACATCAAGATGAGTTCTTTCCTGTTTGGGTATATCTCTTCCTGAAAGACATACACAAGAAGGTATGGTTTAATAATTTAACAAAAAGAAAACAATCAAGATTCCGTTTCTTGTCAGAAAAACAACTGCTTGTGGAGGCATTTTCTAAAAATATTTAAATGAAATAATATTTGACCCTCAATTGTAATTTCCAGATTTGAAAGTATTTTGAAAAGAGAAAAGTTTTTTAATTTGTTAACACACGGGGTTCAAACTTTTCCTGTGTGGGATTCTAACATAATTCTTGGCAAAAATTCCCAGGAAATCAGAAAATACTCTTCCATAGACAAACAGAGCCTAAACTGCATGCTAGCAGAGTAGCAGCTACTTTTCCATGTTAATATGTAGTGTGAACATGGTATAGAAATGATTCAGCCACTACCTTGAGCAAGTGAACTGAGATGAGTGAAGCTTGAAAGCCAAAGGAGGAAGAGGGGGAGAAGAAGGATGAGATGATAATGGTTTCTGCAGCAAAACATTCTGACCAAGAAACAGATAGGTCAACAATTTTGAAGCTGGAGTCAACAAAGATATCCCTTGAAAGCTACTTCAGGAGAAATGAATGAATCTTCAATACACATTAATCTGCTCTAACATAGTTTCCAAGACAAGAATATCATCTACTACTAGTAGTAGTAGCAGTAGAGTATGTGAGAAGTCTAATTTGATTTGGAGAGTGGGAAAGGGGTTGGGAATGATTATAAAAAGATCACAAAGGTTGAGGCTTTTTGGAGATAGGGACAAGTGAGGGGTTCACAGGTGTGGGCTTTCATTTCTACTCCCATTCTCCCTCCCTTTGTCCCCCTCATTTCTGTCAACCCCCAATCCCTACTTGTACTAATACCGTACTCTCTTCATGGTTCTTAAAGTTTCATTGAAGTGATCAATAAAGTAGTAAAACAATAGAGTGACACTCTGATCTTTTTTAATTGAGACATATTTATCCACTTCGGGAAAAAATAATTAGCCTTTCCTCTATCTCAGTTTATAGGAATCAATATTGAGAGTTACATACTTACATGTAGCGTTGGAAGAAAACATTGAAAAAGTAAAGACTAAAAAATGGGATTAAACTGTTTTTCTTTTAAGTGTACACATATCATTGTCAAACGGCCAAACCTATATACGTAGTATGTTGGATTTTTTATATGTTCATTTTCAAGACAACTAATTTCACTTCCATAGTTGATACCTAACAATGTACATGTCGGCATGTCACTAAAATGCTGGAAATTTCTAAAATTAAATGACTTATAGTCGGCCGAGCTGGATATGGAGTAGGAAATATGAGCAAAACTAGTCATTTCACATATGCGTTGTACGAGATTTGATTTCCTTCATTATGAAAAGTATTAGATAATTTTAGAATTATAATAATGATTGTACATTGCAACATGTTCAGTGAAGATTATAATCTAAAATATGGACAATTATATATTTAGATGCATTACCATAAGATTATAAGAAACAATTTCTAATGTGTTGAGATTTAAATTTTCCAAGAAATGATAATGTACAATCAAAATATGTGAACCTCCCAGTTAGATGTGTCATGAATCGCATTTTTAGATAGTTCTGATCTTGATTTTTGATTTACAATTTCAACTTTACTTTTGGTTTGTTTGATACAAGAGATCAAAGAAGAAAGTTATACAAAAGAAAATAATGAAAGAAAAAAACATACAATATTATGTATTATTATGATTGAGAAAGATATTGTACTTCATGAATTTGAGGCATACATGATACATGGGAGATAAAATGTATGTAATCTTCATAGAGGATTCTGCCTATAAGATTATTACCAGACTCCTAAATGACATAAAAGGAGGACAATGTTGTTCCCCCTTGAACCGAGATCGGTGTCAGGTATCCACCTCTGGACCCCCGATCAGTCTCGGTTCCATTTTTTATGTTTTGAAACCTTCCCAAATCCCAACTCTCCTCCCCGTCTCTTTTTGCTTTTGAATGGAGTAAAGATGTTTTTACTTGGCTTGAAAATTTCTAGTCTGGTCTGATCTAAATTGGTCTGGTTTGGTTTGGTCTAGTCTAGTCTGAACTGGTCTAATCTAGCAAATGTCTGATTTTTGTGTATTTTATAATTATTCAAGTCAGGATCCGTTCTAATTTGGTCTAGCAATTTTGAAGCTATTAGTCTACTATTGAAGTCCATCTTTCCTTCTAGCTTGGGTAAGCGAATTAGCCAAACCAATATAGTTGCTAGAAATGAGAGAAATTTGAACTAAAATTATAAGGTATGGAATAATATTTAATTTATTGTTATTTGATTTACTAAATTAATTAAAAATGCAACTGTAAAGTAATGCAATAAATGGTAAAGTTCCAAAACCCTGAAAAATGCAACGGTTAAGTAGTGCACTATAATGATAAACATTAAATATATTTATTTTATTTAATGTTTTTGCTTTGTTAATTTTAAGAAATGTTTAATTTTCTCATGAAAAATTTAAAGTTGATATTTCTCAGTATGTATGTGTTGTTAAAATTTCTTATTTCTTTTTTTTTTACTTAACAAATTGTACTAATTTTAAAAAACATGTTTTTCTTATAGTAACATCTTCGTTATAATAATAATAACATCTACATTTTCCCAATTTAAAAATATTTCAATATATGTATTATTTCTATTGTATTAATAAATCAATTCATTCAAAATTGGTTAATTTGTGGGACCTATTCAAGAGACAAACAGTGTAGCTGATCATTAGACTATCACATTGCTGAAAAATGGAATAGAAAAAACTGACGTGGCAAGTAAAGTGCTCTTACACCGCTCTTAAGCCATTTGTAGTGGTAGGGTATTAGGAGTCAAAAATTCTAAATTTGAAAATTTTGGACTCCCAATTATGTGTAGTGGTAAATTAAAAAGGGGGTTAAAACTTAAAAGTGGGAAAGGAGGTAGATCAGTTTTAAAATAGAAGGTATGTTGATAAGTAGAAAGAAAAGGGAAAAGGAAAAAAAGAAAGCTTTGTCCACCATGATGGACATGAGAGATTCAATTGGATGACGTCATAGTGGCGTCGTTAAATCCCAATTTTTTTAAAATTCTTATAACCTTTTTAGTTTTTATCTAGCTTTTTCAAAATGTATCAAAATTCATGAATTTTTATAATTTTTCATATGACAGCATTATGTAATATATGAAATGAAAAACAAAGTCTGAATTTATAATTGTTGAAGTTTTCTTGAGTCTAAAATAGCAAGAATACAAATTTTTAATTCATTGATTCTCCACAAATAACTTAATATTTCTCAATCGAACTATACTTGAACTAAGTTCATTTTTTTGTTACCCAAAAATGTTTAAAAAATAATGAAATTTATTTATTTTTACATCAAAATGTGTATTTTTTTATTTCATAATTACTCAGAGAAAAAACTAAAATGAAAATATTACTTATAAAAATTTAATTAATGTTTTACTAAAAAAAATTAGAAAGTGTACGTTATTAACGCTGAAATGCTGGAAAATAGAACTCAAAACACTATTGCTCAAATAGATCCAAATCCTCCATTTCAAGTAATCAAGGAAAAATCTCCATATGAAAGTAATTTTTTGTCAACTGATTTCATATTCCTAAGTGGCCAATTGGCCATAGCAAATATCTTACGAAGTAAAAAAAAGTGGCCACAGCAGATAGGAGGATCAAGGCAAAATCAGTTTCTGTGTTGGATGTATTCGGAAAATACAATTTTTTGAAGGATCCGGGAAGCCATCACTCCAGACAAGTCTTGAGGTATACTTTGAACTGCTTTTAGAAACTGCTCTCTCAAGGAGCACTTTGAAGCAGAATCAGTTTTGAAGGTGTTTGGATCTGATTTTAAAAGTGATTTTACATGGCTGAAAAATCTGGGTAGGAGCAGCTTCTCCAAAAGAGCTTCTGATTCTTCTAATTTCATTCTGGAGTTGTGGAATCAGCTTCCGACTCTTCCCACCTGCGCTGCGGCTCTTCTTCTCCACCGATTTCCAGCTTGCGGCTCTTCTCTTCTCCGATTCACAGCCCAGGTAAACCAGTGATCTCTTCTCTTCTATTCTGGAGTTGTGGATTTTTTTATTTTCATTTATGTGTATTGCGCCTCTCTTGTCTCCTCCTCAACTATGCCAGATTTCTTTCGACAGAGCCATCTTGACTCCTCATGATATACCGTTTTCAGTTCTTCACCTAGTTAGCTTAATTAATACTCCGTACCTTTATTCCATCAGTGTGTCTTTGGTGTTTAATTGTTATGCAATTTTTTTTGGAGTTGGTCATATGCTTGTGATTTTTACCATTAACAGTTCAGATATGCTTGAAATTAATTTTTTTTGAATTTGCTCAACATTATAAAGTTAATTTTGTGTAATTCTTGCCTGGAATCTGATCACAAGGAATGCCTAATATATATATATGCCCTTTTGGTAAATTTACACCAAAAGCAGTTTTTAAAAGCAAGCTATCCAAACACTCTAAACTGATTCTCTATTACATACAGCAGAATCAATACCAAACACTCCAGACAGAATCACTTTTTCAGACAGCAGAAAATTCTGATTCTGATTCTCACTTAAAAAAAGGAGCAGAATCAGAATCAGTTCCAAACACCCCCATAATTTTAATCAGCGATGTGGCAATTTTTTTAGATTACTTGTCTCCTCAATTGCATTTTCCTGACATTGGAAAGTGTTACATAGTGCCATTTTAGTGGATTATACATCATCGTGAATCCTGATTGTTTGAAGCGCAAAATGGATAACAAAATCCGTGATTATGCATAAGGGTATTCTAAGGTTCATGGCATGACCACCAAATGTTTGATATTTAGCTTGAGTTTTGCGGCATTGTTTCTCTCAGTAAGTTTTTAAGCTAGCATTTTTGGGTGGCTATTCCAAGAATTATTTTTACTCCAAGAACTTTATCTTACGAGATGAATTTGCTTTTCTGCAGAGTTCAAAGAATAATTCAATGACCCCTTACGATAATAATATTATCCTTAACCACAACTTCACTGAAGGGCTGAATTCATGGCACCACAATTGCTGCGAAGCCTTTTTGGTTCCAGCAGGTGTGGAAAGTTATGTTGTTGTTACAAACCGCAAGGAATGTTGGCAAGGCTTGGAGCAAGATATTACAAACAGAGTTTCTATAGGATCCACCTATAGAGTTAGTGCTTATGTTGGAGTGTCTGGTGCAGTTGGGGTCTCTAGTGATGTCCAGGCTACCCTAAGACTTGAGTATAGAGATTCATCTACTACCTATGTTTTCATAGGAAGGTATCTGGTACCTCTTAATCTCTTATTCTGTGTACCTTTTACTTGGTTAACTAAGAAAGTATATTGTGACAAAGGAAATCCTGTTCAAATGCAGAAAATCTGTTTCTAAAGATTGTTGCGAAAAATTGGAAGGCACATTTTCACTGTCTAGTAAACCTGACCGGGTTGTATTTTATCTGGAAGGACCTTTACCAGGAGTTGACCTACTCATTAAATCAGTTGTGGTTACCTGTTCTTCCTCAATAACATGTGGAGTGAGTAATTTATAATTAATCTTATGTTATCACTGTTTATATTTCATACTCTTTTTTATAGTGTGTCAAACAAGATAGCTATGTTAAACTTAATCCAGTAAACATAAGAAATTTGGAATTAAGCTTCAATGGATGAATCACCATAGTTGAACACTTGAACCATACTAAGGGCCCTTCAGGGTGGTGAGTTTGGAGTGTAAAAAGCTAACTGTGAATCTGTGATAGTAAGTTTAGTCGTTAGGACTCTGAGGTCCAATGCAGCTGTAGATTTGATATTTGTTTGAATAACTAATTGCGGTTGTAAAACTTTAAAAAATGTGTTTAAAGAAGATTTTAATTTCAAAAAATTAAGTAAAAGTATACAAGAAAATGTTAAAAATATAGAATAATTAAATTTTAAAAAATAAATCAAGTTAAACTCACCTCACCGGAGGTATCAAACTCCAGTGGAAAATGAGATACGAAGTTGTCAACTTCATCTCACAATACCACAACAATTAATGTCAAACACCTCTGACAGTGAGTTTTACTTTGTTCATCATCATCATCATTACCTTAGTGCCGCAAAGGCTCCCACCTACGATGGGGTAAAGGGGGGTCGGATGTACGCACTACGCAGCCTTACCCCTGTACTAAAGCACAAAGAGACTGTTTCCGGATGACCCATGGTGAAAATCGCGTCGAAAATTGCATTAACTGACTGCTGCTTCATAACAAAGAAGCGCAGACAGTTTAGTGAGCCAGTTTGCTTTATTCCATCATATTCTCAAGCCAAAAAATAGTGAATCTTTGGCTCCATTGCAAATGATGGAAAATGAGTTTTACTTTGTTCTAGTGCAAAAAACTCACCAAACTTGACACATCCATTACCTTTGCTAAAGACCTGGCAGAGTGTAGCTTTAGTTCAGCCCTGATGTCCCTCTTTAATCCTTTGAGAAAAATCCCTCTCAGCACTTCTTCAGTCAAGTGACCTTGAGAAGCTATGGCGGTTTCGAATTGATCTCTGTACTCCTGGACAGATCCCTTCTGCTTTAAACTGAAAAGAGGTCCCAAAGGATCCTGTACCATGTCAGGCTGGAATCGATTGGACAGAGCACTAGTGAAGGAGTCCCAATTCTGATGCTGAGCTTGCCCCTCCCACCATTGGAACCAGCTCAGAGCCTGGTCTTCCAAGGCGACAACAGCTACATCAATCTTATCATCTTCCTCCGTTCGGTTCAGTCTGAAATATCTGTTCATTCTCACTAACCAGCCAAAAACGTCTTTTCCATTGAAGATGGGTAAATCGATCTTTCTTCCCACAGGATGTTGGCGTCTGCGATTGCGATGCTGATCGCCATGACTGGGTGATGCAGAGTGATCTGAATGGTTATCCGAATCCTCTGATGTGTCATCGTTCTTCCTTCGCCGATGATGAGAAGTGTGGTGCGAAGACGTCGATTGGTGTGATCGACTCCGCGATCGATCGATCTTAGCGAAGCCTGCTTGCATCATCGCTAACAGTTCAGCGTACTTCGCGTTCGATTCATCGATCCTTGCATCTATCTTCGCCGCTAATTCCTTTTGGCTTCGATCAAGATTCCGCTCCAATTCAGTCATTCGCCCTTCCATTCTTCTTCTCGTACCAACCATTCACAGAACCGAATGTCTCTGATACCAATTGATAGAAACCTCCAGCAATCACAACAATTTCACAGCAGAAATGTAAAATAGTATCAAGAAATCAAAGCAGTTTTATTAGAGATGAATAAGAACTGGCCGAAGCCCCCAAATGAGCCGAAGCCCCCCAAAAGAGAGAGAATGATCTCAATCTTCCCAGAATAGACTAATCAGTCAAAACAGCCTGCCCAACTATTCCCAGCTATATTCTATTTATACTAAACTTATACACTTCTTCTTATTGATACTCTAATAGGCCCGGTCCATTATTCTTATTAATACCCTAATAGGCCCGGTCCCTAACATTTCCCTTAAGATGATTTCCATGTAATTGATAGAATTCTGGTTCACAATCCATCTCTTCTGGAGAAGGGATCATTTTAAACTCCATATTTGAGGATGGCATGAACAACTGGTCAGGAGGAGGCTGCAAGATTCTTCTGCACGATTCTATGGAAGATGGGAAAGTCCGTCCAGTGTTTGGTAATGTTTTTGCACGTGCAACAGAACGGACACATACGTGGAATGGAATTCAGCAAGAGATAACAGGAAGAGTATTGCGAAAGCTTGCCTATGAGGTTCTTGCTACAGTTCGCTTATATGCTAGCAATGTCACTAGTTCAGCTGTTCGTGCAACATTGTGGGTCCAGATGGCTGATCTTCGTGAGGAATACATAGGCATTGCCACGTATGCTCTCTCCTTTATTATGTTGTAACTTTATTTAATGGTGTTAATACAAGATATGGCGTTAATTGCATCATTTTTCTCAATATGATAGGGATTGATTATTCCAAATGACTTCTTATTCTTTAAAGAATTCTGGCGATGGCTTCTTATTTTTTACAGAGTTCACTCCCCCGAGTTTCTTGTGACCCTTAACTCCTTAAGGTCTGTTTGGATGTAGGGTTCGGGCAGGGTTTGGAGCATTAAATCTAAATCTTAATAAATAAAATGTTTCCAAAAAGGAGTAAAAGATGATAGAAATGCTATACAATCACATTAATTTTTACAAAATCTCACATTATTATATCTAAGATATAGACTAAAGTACTTCACCTCCATCTATAATCTTCCCCTCCAAACCGTCCATCCAAAGACACCCTTAGTTCAATGCTTTCACCATTAGTGTTTTGCTATATACTTCATACGCTTTTGAAGGACATAATTTCATACCATTAGAAGGTAGCTTCTTAAACTAAATTACTGGAAACCTAACCCTGGGCTTTTCCATAGTGTACAAACAACAGACAAGGAGTGGTCACAATTACAAGGAAAGTTTCTTCTTAATGGTTTCCCATCTAAGGTAATTATTTATCTCGAGGGTCCACCCCCAGGCACTGACATTCTCCTCAATACCCTAACCGTGAAGCGTGCAGCTAAAGTTCTTCAATCTCCTCCGCCAGTGATCGAGGTTAGTTCGCAAAAAAATCTTAGATTATTTTGTTTGTGTATGTGTTTCAAGATATAAAAGTGGTCACATGGTTAGTTTTGTTTAGACTCCCATCATTGAATTATTAAAAAGAGGTGTGCAGTTTGGCTCAAATGCTTTATGACCCAGCTTAATGAATCTGATATTATTATTGTGTATTCTATCAAATTCAATCCATTATTACTCCAAACAAAAGATACTGCTTAATAGAATCCTCTTCTCCAGAATGTAGATTTTGGTATCAATATTATCACAAACACCAACCTAAACAATGACACAAATGGGTGGTTTCCTCTTGGAAATTGCACCCTCACTGTTGCAATCGGCTCACCACTTATAATCCCTCCTGCGGCTAGAGATTCTCTTGGAGCCCACCCGCAGTTAAGTGGTCGCTACCTTCTTGTGGGGAATCGTACAGAGACATGGATGGGTCCTGCACAGATCATTACACATAAAGTCAAAGTCTATTTGACTTATCAAGTTTCTGCATGGGTTAGAATTGGAAAAGCAGCCAGTGGGGCTCAGAATGTGAATGTTGCTCTTGATGTGGACGGTCAATGGGTGAATGGGGGTCAAGTTGAGATTAATGATGACAACAAATGGCATGAAATTTGTGGATCTTTCAGGATTGAGAAAGAAGCAGCTAAGGTCAAGGTTTATGTTCAGGGTCCTGCTCCAGGTGTTGACTTAATGGTTGCAGCACTTCAAATATTTCGAGTTGATAGAAGGGCGCGGTTTGACCACTTACGGAGAGAAACCGATAAGGTAAGAAATAAACTACCTGTTTTATACATATGTAGTATTATTTTATAAAGAAACTGATAATGGGCATGCACTTTTTTGGACCCCGAGCATAATCAAGGTTGTTTTAGTTTAAGTTTAAGTTTTTTAATGTATAACAGGGTTGTCTGATGTCTATAGATTATCAATTTTCATGTCATACAGATGTGTATAGTTTATATATACAATAATACACTTTTGTTATTGCATTTTATTAAAGTGGTTTTAGTATAATGACTAAAGAAAAAGCTAAAGAGATGATGGCTATTTAAAGATTTAACAAAAGTGGCTATGCATGGCCCTTTTATACTTAATGTGTCATTGCCAGTGACACTGCAATGACACACCACAACTTCCAGCAGTACACCATCAGCATAAGTGACACCGCCTCACATGTCGCCGTAACCTACGCCAACAGTTACGGTGAATTTACTGGAGACTTTTTCCTGGCAACTTTGGAAAAAATTCCAGCAGCGTCAGAGAATCGAGCAGCTGGATGCTGACTGTGAGTCTGATCGGTGCTGAGTGAGAATGATAAAATTGGGATTTAGTATTATTTAATCATTTTTTGAAAATATTTAAAACGAGTCATATTTTTGTGCATTAGAACTGTAGGAGTTATATTCTTGTGCATTTATTATTTCTTCATAAATAAGTCTTCTATGCTGTTGCTAGTTGAGACTTGAGAGAACCTTTTTTTTTTCCCATATACGGAGTATTCTTAATAATGAATTGTTTAGATAGGTCAGCATCTACCTTTATAATCAGATTAGTAGTATATATCATGTAAATACATGTTTCTATGGTATAGATACGCAAGCGAGATGTAATCTTGAGGATCTCAGGATCAGAAAGTTTTCATGGGACTGCTGTGAATGTAAGGCAAGTCCAAAATAGCTTCCCGTTTGGGTCTTGTATTAGCAGAGCAAACATAGACAATGAAGAGTACAGAGATTTCTTCCTCAGAAACTTTAATTGGGCTGTCTTTGGGAATGAGCTGAAGTGGTACAAAGACGCTGATGAGCTCTTGGACTTTTGCATGAGAAACAATGTTCACGTTCGTGGCCATTGTATTTTCCGGGAGGTCGAGGATGTCGTTCAGCCATTGGTCTGTGACCTGGACAAGAATGACCTGTCAATTGCTATCAAAGCACGCCTTACAAGCCTCCTCACACGCTACAAGGGAAAGTTTAAACACTATGACGTGAACAATGAGATGATGCACGGCTCATTCTATCAAGACCGGCTCGGGAAAGAAACCCTAGCCAGCATGTTCAAGGCTGCAAACGAAATTGACCCTTCTGCCCTCCTATTTGTCAATGATTATCATGTTGAGGATGGCCGTGATGCCCGGTCATGCCCGGAAAAATACATTGACCACATTCTTCAACTCCAGGAACACGAGGCACCTGTCGGGGGCATAGGCATCCAGGGACACATAGATTGCCCGATTGGAACAATCGTTCGTCACGCTCTGAATAAACTGCGAATTCTCAGACTCCCTATTTGTTAGAAAACTCCAATTCTAGTCTTACAGATCACAGAATTGGTTCAAGAAATATCTCAAAGGCAACTTTTATTCTCAAAGGCAACAATGGCCGAAGGCCTAAGGCAACAATCACTTAGCGTACAATTTACAAGTTCATAATTCAGCATATCCCTACAATTACTAATGCTTATTCTATTTATAGTAGGACAGGTCAACACCCGGTTAGTTATTAGCTCAAACAGTCTTGACTAATAACAAACCCTATTTCTAGAATACACTTCATTGAAGTATTTATCTCTTATCTTCCTATTCGTAAAGTCTCTATCAAATCTCCCCTCCTGAAAATCCAACTTGCCCTCAAGTTGGAAGATATGAATCAAGTCTGGTATTCAGCTTCCTCCTGGTGCCTCTCCCTTCCCAGTACTTAGTTGATGGTGGTATCATACGTTCCCATACTTCTAGTCCTCTAGATGAAATACTCCTGTCCAGCCTGAGCATAGCATTTGCTTCTGACTTCACCCTATCTTTAGATCTAAGCTTCACACTGAATAGCTCAGGAAGCTCCACTGCAGCTTTAAAGGAAGTAACAATTGCCAAAAGACCATAACTCCACCAAAAACCAGGGCTGTTCTGTCCCAAATAATTTCCTGACACTCCAAAATACCTTGCCAGAACATGGGCCTGATTCCCATAGAATTTTTCTAAAATTTTTGGTGCAACAACTACTTCGCCTAAAGCTTGCTGGTAACTCTTAAGAACCATTCTCTGTAATACCCTTGTGAAGATGTCAAAAACATCAGGAAATGATAGGCTAAGATCTGTCTTTGCATATATGTCTCCCACTTTTAGATAACCTTCTAGTGCTTTCCATGGATTATGTAGGCCAAGCTTGATGTATCTTATCATGCTGTCAACAAATGGCTGCCATTCTGCTTTTTGTACTCCTGCAACTTGTATCAATGACTCCTCATTTCTGTAATTAAATCTTATGTCATAGCCTGCATACTTTACCCACTTTCCTTGCACTATTTTGGATATATCAGCAGGCAAAGAACCAGCATCATGAATTGGTTTGTTGTTTCCTGAGATGATAGCATATTCCCCATAGAAAGGATAAGCATGATCTTCCTGAACCTCTGGGTCTTTCCTCTTTCTATCAATGTATGAATGTTCTGAAAACATTTTAATTGATAGATTTTTGACAAGAACAGCTTTATCTTCTGCAATGTTCTTGATTTTAAGTAATCCAGTTTCAGAAGCAATTAGGACTCTATTACCAATTGAACATGGGTGGATCAGTAGATCTACACTAGAAACCCCGCTGGGAATAAAATCCATATCGGTGGCTAGATTAGGAGAAACAAAATTTGGCCATCGTATAACCCGTCTTTTTCCTTCAACTGAACCAGTTGCATGTCCACCGGTAATTGTAGATTGTTCCTCTATTTCATCTTCCTTATTCGTTTTCTTGCATAAAGATTCAGGTGGATTCAATTCAGTCTTCTTTGTCGATTGGGGAAAACCTTGCGCAGAGTTAGTAAAGTCTTTCGATAAAATCTGTGAACCAAAAGATTCTTCTCTCACTGGTTTTGCCTTCTGCTGCGAGTTGTTCGCGGATGGGAATAACTGCGGACTGAGATCTGCTGTTTCCGTTCGCTGCTCGCTTAGTGACGATTCCTGCGAACTGAGCAAAGTCGTCCGCGATTGCGAATTAGGAGTCCTCGTTCGCGACTCAGTCTGCGAGCTTTTTAGAGATGGCGACGAGCCTTGTTTTTCAGGTATCGGAAGATGCCTGTGCGAACTTCGATGCGAGTCGTCTGTACCATCTGAGCTTTCCGGATGTTTCGCAGATTTATGATGCGAAACAGTCCGCGATTTCTTCTGCGGCTCCTGCGATCTTCGCAAAGCGTGCGACCTTCTCTTAGATCGATCTTCCGCATCCAGTCTGGCCAGAATCGCTGCCATCAACCCCACATTTTGTTGATGAATCTTCTCCAAGTTATCCAATCGTGATTCCATCTTTGCGCGCGTCAAGACCTTAACAGCGATGGACTTTCTCTGATACCAATGTTAGAAAACTCCAATTCTAGTCTTACAGATCACAGAATTGGTTCAAGAAATATCTCAAAGGCAACTTTTATTCTCAAAGGCAACAATGGCCGAAGGCCTAAGGCAACAATCACTTAGCGTACAATTTACAAGTTCATAATTCAGCATATCCCTACAATTACTAATGCTTATTCTATTTATAGTAGGACAGGTCAACACCCGGTTAGTTATTAGCTCAAACAGTCTTGACTAATAACAAACCCTATTTCTAGAATACACTTCATTGAAGTATTTATCTCTTATCTTCCTATTCGTAAAGTCTCTATCACTATTTGGTTCACCGAGATAGATTTCTTTTCAACAAATGAATATATTAGAGCTGACGATTTGGAGGTTATGCTCCGCGAATGTTACGCTCACCCTTCTGTGGAGGGGATAATGTTGTGGGGATTTTGGGAGTTATTCATGTCCAGGGAAAACTCTCATTTAGTGAATGCCGAGGGGGATCTTAATGAGGCCGGAAAAATGTATGTTGCTCTTAACAGAGAGTGGATGTCACATTGTCATGGTGATTTTAATCAGCAGGGTGAGTTCTTCTTTAGAGGATTTCATGGTTCATATGAAGTGGAAGTCATTGGAAGGTCAAAAGCATTTACCAAGACATTTGTGGTCGACAAGGGTGAGGATGTTTTGATAATCTCCATTGATGCATAGTTCGTGACTACTCTTGGGATGTACACATTTCTAAGGCCTTATTATGATCTTGTGCTTATCATTAGAAGCATACATGTTTGAATTATTACTCTTTTTCATACAAAATGTCTAGATTATGTGTGCCAGAGTATATTTATAGTCTTATGGATGTAAAAAGCAAAATTTCAATAAAAACAATGTGATATTACTAAGGCCTTAAAAATTTCAATAATAACCACATAAATATTAATGACGATAGGAATCATAATAAAAAACTTCATCATCATAGTTATACAAAATCATATTCTAGTCCACATGTATATTGATTGGTATCAAAGTGTTTGAATACTTGTGTAATACGAGTAATTTGGATAATATGTAGTATATACTTACTCCGTAGTATTTGACTATATCAGCGACAAACATTATCATATTAGTAAAAATAATATATATGTACCAATGTGTCTATATAATGTATATAATTCTATTGATTAAACAAATTTTGATGTCAATGTATCATACTACTGTATCATACCAAGGTGTCATAAAATTTAATAATGTTATTGTATCAAAATATTTTGTGGTACTTGGGTTTCATGGTTTTCTGACATTTTTCGTTGATATTAAATTTAATGTCGTCATTTTTTTACTTGTGTGACATTTCTCTTGTGTCATGATTTTTTTTGACATTTAATAAGTAGTGTCATTATGAGACATTTTTCTAGTAGTTATTGGATATCACGTGAGAACCTTAGTCATGATGAGCTGATTTTGTATAATGAAGTAGAACTGTAGAATTCACACTCAAATATTTTGGCTTACACAGTCTAACAAATTAAAAGGTGACACCCCATTTTTACCTCAGGCCCCCTAGCGAGTGCAGTTCTGACTCAAATACTTTCAAATACTCTATGCATTTTTACATTGTAAGTTTGTAACCTCTCAATGCAATGGTCAAAATACGAATATAAAATTCATCGCTTGTGGCACTCCCTACATCAACCAACTGAGCTACGTCCATTGGCCACGGTCTAACAAATTAAAGGATACATGGATGGATTGTTTGACTCGATCGTGTGAACAATAGTTGAAGTTCAAGAAGGGACGGGGTTCCATTGATTACGTAACATTTGATTACAATGGTCATATTTTCAGACATCTTTTCAAAATCTGGTCTAGGAAACACTTGTAATTATACTTGAAAAATAGTTCAAACTGAAATTTTCTTTAGCAAAAACGATTTATCAAATCGTTTAGTGTTGGACCGTATGTTAGGACAATTTTGGATAAAATGAAATGCATAATTTTAATTTTGATTTTGAACAAATCTAATCTAAAAACTTATAAGCATCAATGATGTCTAACTATGACATATAAGAAATGATAAAAATGTTGGTGTAACACTAAAGCAAGTTACACATGTATAAATTGTTGCAACTAGCGTATCATTCATCATTAAGTTTATAACTTCTCATTGCCTCCGTTAAATTCCAATGGGAGAGTTTCCAACTATATGTGTGCCCTTCGAATTTTAATTGTCCTACTCATTTGATTGCTTTAGCTTCCATTCAATGTTTTTTATTTAATTTTGCATTTTAAACTTTACCCCTACGTTGTAGAAGATAAAAAAAACTCAATTTTATGTAAATTTTTATCTTTTCTCTTTGGAATGAAGTGATCTGACACAGTGACACCCGATAAAATTTAAGTACAGTTTGTGAATTACCCCTTAATTATTAACCTCTTGTGGCCGCAAAGATTTAGATGTATCTCTTTGTTAAGAGTTGTTCTTTTAATATCGTTCTTATTGCTTATTGCATACAATTTTTTCATTTAGATCAGATTAGAAAAAATTTAATTAGATTAGACCAAATCAAAAAAATTATTTTCACATCAGAAAGATTTAGACCACATCAGATCAAAAAGATACATAGCAGACAAGAAAATTTCAAACATGATTTATTATTATAACTATTATTATTATCGTTGTTGTTGGTGTTATATTATTATCATTGTTGTTGTTATAATCAATATTGTTATTTTTATTTGTAAGTATTAAAAAAATTGGATTCATGTGGTTGCTATTTTATTCCTAAACTAAGAATAAAGTAGAACCATACAAACTTTATCGAATTTAGTATGACACAATCTTGGTGAGACATATCGAAAATAAAATATAGGACTATGGCTGGACTCGGGCCGGTTCGGGCCCGGTTCGGGCCTGGGCCCGGCCGGGCCTCGGGCCAGAAAACTAGGGCCCGGGCCCGAACCGCCGGTGGGCGGTTCCGGTTCCGGTTCCGGGCCAAACCGGGCCGGGCCGGGCCGGGCCGAACCGGCCCACTTAAATTTTTTTTTTTTTTGGTCTCCTATTTAATCCCCTACCCCTCCCCCTCAACCCCAAACCATCCCAAACCACCTCAAATGGCCCAAAATACCTAATCCAACCTAAAACTTAAAAAAATTTCAAAAAAAAAAAATTAAAAATTAAAATCCGGCCCGGACCGGGCCCGAACCGGCCGGGCCGGTTCACCAAAACCTGGGCCCGGGCCCGAACCGCCCAGCAGCCGGGCCGGGCCGAACCGAACCGGTGGACCCACCGGGCCCCGGGCCGGGCCGGGCCTAACAGTAACCGGGCCGGGCCGGTTCCGGGCCGGGCCGCCCGGCCCGAGTCCAGCACTATATAGGACAATCTTAATAGAAACAGAGGTCGGAGGGAGTACTTGGGATCGAGTTGGAGGTGACGGTGGTGATGATCTAACATCTCTTGTTCATAGTAATTCTATATTTACACACATATATACCAATATAGGAAGTGCGAGATCAAACTTGTGTCTCCATATGTTCATAGTGACATTTCCATTTGCCTCTGCAATAAAGGTAACATAGAGAAAAGGTTTAAATAAATTCAAATTAACCATTTATTGTTCCACTCAATTTGTTAAAGAAGATTCTTTTTTTTTAATCAAGGAGAAGATTGTTATTAAGAGTCTCTTTGGTGATCATGTTTTTTAGCTTATCAGGCTCATGAATCAACTTCTCACCCAACACATAACTTTTGATTTCACCCGTTAAATTGTATAATAATTAAAATAGGGAAAACTGTCAAATAAGTCCTTGTACGATTGTCAAAAAGTCAATTGAATCTTTTTACTTTTAATTGAATCCTCAAGTGATAAAAAATAGTCAAATTGGCTTTTTTACCGATAATGAGCCGGTAACCTCATTATTGCCTACATGGAAGTCAACTTGGCATTTTTTACTCTTTTCCATTTTTCATTTTTCGTTCAGTTTTTTCTTTTCTCTTTCTTTCTTCTTTTTTCCAACAACGGCTAGTGTAGTTCCGCTGTTTCCGACCAGGAGCGGACCCAGGAAATTGATGTTGGGGGGGGCGGTAATTTAAGCAAAAAAAATCTAGGCGCTTATTATTATAAGTTATAACCCTAATATAATACGTAGTAGTAATTAAATGAAGCATTAAAACAGAAGAAGAGACAAATATATTATTACAAAATAGTTAAAGTTATTACTTTAGAATTGTGTCCGGCGCTCCATCAACGAGATAAATTCCTCAATCACGGCTTTTGAGTCAAAAGTTTTAGCAATTTCTCTTTCAATATAAACAATAAGGTTGTCTGCAAGATACTCATCCTCCATTTTATTGCGAAGCCTTGTTTTTATAATTTTCATTGTTGAAAAAGCCCTTTCTGTTGTTGCTGTCGAAACCGGTAGAGTCAACAAAAGTCGGATCAATCTATCAACAAGAAAGTACATTTACATCTCCGTCTCCGCTAATCCTTGACAAAGTTCACCCATCCACCTTGTTGCACAGTTTCACACCCATGCCGGCATGAGCCTATATAGTAAGGTCATGGTCGTACCGCAGAGTACTCACTTGTGATAGCCTTGAACCCGCCGAAGAACCCAAATTAAAGCTTTGCAACAGTGCCAACTGCCAAGCAAATGACCAATCCCTACAACGGCTCCACAAAACCCCGAACTGAAGATCGAAGAGGAAATTTCCATCAGATCTCGAAGTGTTTGCCCAAGGCCCAACCATCATCGGACAAAAACCAATGGGCCATGACCGGTTAAACGTTTGTGGGGACGAATAAGGTACGTGAAAGAGACCTCCGGCGAAAAAGCTAAAAGGAGAGTGTTGGGAATTCAGACCAGCTCAGACCTCAATCACCAAAAGTCCAAAGACTTGCTCACATTCACCACCAGGGTTAAAACTGGGAAGACGAAGGGCAACAATCAACGACCCTCACACATAAACCCTAACCCAGACCCAAAACCAGAAGACCCACCGGAGATATAACCCACCACACTACGAGACTAGAGTGAAGACCCCAATTGGAACCCCAAGGTCTCACCGGAGCATAGCCAGAGCTAAAGCTCAGATGGAACCGACACTCTCTCACTCTAGGTCTAGGGCAACTGATCGAGAAGCTCATCAGGTAGAGAGAAGGAAGAGCGGGTGAAATAGGAGGTTCAAGAAAGAACCAGACAATAAAAGGGAAGGGCCACAAAAGTCATGGGCTGGGTAGAAACAAATAGGCCGAGTGGGCTTGGTCGGTTAAACAATCAAGATTCCGTTTCTTGTCAGAAAAACAACTGCTTGTGGAGGCATTTTCTAAAAATATTTAAATGATACGGAGTATAATATTGTGAAATAATGGGAAAAGGGTACTCCAATAGGAGTCCTGGCAGGTATATTTATATTAAATAAGAGTTACCAAAAAACACAAGGATTCCTAATTTATATTAACTATTACACCCCCTCAAGCTGTGCGGGAGATACAACGCGCAGGTTGTCTTTCAAGAAATTAAATTGCTGACTAGATAGAGCTTTAGTAAATATATCCGCAAGTTGCAAGTGTGTGGGAACATACTTCACCAAAAGATCACCATGAGCAACTCGTTCACGAACAAAATGATAATCAATCTGAATATGCTTGCTGCGAGCATGCTGAACAGGATTAGCAGTCAAATAGGAAGCTGAGATATTGTCACAAAATAAATGCACAGGGTCACGGATAGAGTAACCGAGCTCAAATAGGACCGAACGTATGTGAAGGGTGTCCTGTACTGTGTATGCTATGGCTCGGTATTCGGCCTCTGTAGAAGACTTGGACACCGTAGGTTGCTTCTTGGATTTCCAAGATACCAGGTTAGGACCGAGAAAAATAGCAAAACCTGTGGTAGAGCGGGAAGTATCTGGACAGCC